AACCAAAGTTCTTGCCGAAACAAAGACAGGTGTTAGTGTTGAATCTCTTTGAATGCAAAGGGTTTTCTTGAAACAATTAGTTCGTAGAACTGGCCCCCATTATTCCCTTATTTTCCATGCTTGAGTTTCCTTAGCATGGACATGTGATTCTAGTTGGTGTAGTGTTAGTTTTATAGGCCCTTGGAACGAGCACAGTCGTTGCACCAATTCTGATGGGGTACAGATTAGGCCCATTGCATTGAGTTCTGTATACTGAAGCATAGTTCCTCATTAAGATGAGTTGGTTTGGTCTTAAGGTCTCATTAACCTGGAAAGTGTGAGAGATGCTGTTTAAACCTGTGACACTCACCTGATTCACTCAATACGCGCAACTTGTATCATATATCTGAACCCCGACTGCAAAAAAATCCACACATTGCCCGATGACGGTGATTCCTTGCTGAAAGTCACTGTGAGATGCTACAAAAGCTGCTGATTCCCTAGATCCCCGCCCAACATTGTCATCGTAATCGTTGTGGATTGACACCTTGATCGGCTGACTGGTGACACATAGGAACAATGTTTCAGCATCCAGCTTGATGGAATTTGAGCACTAAGTTGTACAAAAAAAGTTTAAAAAATGTTAGTATGGATTTGTGAATGATAATATGATTAAAAATTATTTACCATCCTAGAAGGTGAGCAACCAGGGCACTCCAGGGAATTTGATCTTGAATTATACAAGCATGTTTTTGAAAAGAGGAAAAACTCCCAACTAAAGCCAATGACAGAATCACTGGTGACGTCAAAACCAGGACAATCAGTGAACACTTCATTTGGATAGTTAATAAGGTATTGCTTTTCCGAAACCTCCACCAAGCCTGGAACCATTCTGCCAGTGACTTGAGCAAAGTCCCTATTAAGATTTGAGAGCTGGACTGAAACACTCTGTTCATTACAACTGATATGAGGACCACTTGAGAAATCGTAAAAATCTATGGTGTAGTTACACAACACTACAGCTGCAGATGGAAATAGTATGAAAGAAGACCAAATCATAAATATAAGCAGAGTAATATCCTTCATTTTTGAAATATTCTGATTCACCAAAATAATTTGCCCCTATTTAACGGGGGGAATTTCTAACAACTCATCCATCAAGTAGCAAAATTCAAGCCTACTAAAGTAGCAAAAGTCAAGCCTACTAAAGCACTATAACCAACTCCTATTATCAGATTCAAGCCTACTGTACTTCATTTTCTTTGAATTTTGCAGCTCAAACTAGATGTCAATTGTATTTAATTTTCAAACTACTCCAAGATCCAAAAATAAAATCAAATTGATATGATGCAAAAAGGATTTGCCAATTGAAATAGTGTTCCTTAGAACCCTACGTAGCAATGATAACTGCTACTATAATAACCTATATACAAATACAATAGTTATCTAGTATGTATGAATTTGCATACACCCAAACATTGGAATAATTTTAGCGTTCAACATATTATACTTATTGAGCTCAAACCCAAAATCATCAATCTCCTAATGTGTACAAGGAGCTCTGCATAGAAACCAAAATGATATATCATCAACATAGAAGTGCCAAAGAAGAAAGTCGTTAATCTTCTTATACTAAGATCAAAAAGGTTGTTTGAGTCCATATAAGGCCTTCCAAAGTCTACAAACTTCGTGTTTTTCACTAGTCACTTCAAAACCTAAAGGTTACACCATATAAATCTCTTCAGATAAATCACCATTAAGAAAGTCAATTTTCACATCTATCTAATTAATAAAAGGATTATGATGAACAAAATAAGCCAAAAATAGATGAACAGTAATGAGTCACACTACAGGAGAGAATGTCTCACACCAGATATCCTTAGCCACAACCCAAGTTTTGTATTTATCAAAAGAAACATCAGACTTCATCTAAACCTACTTACACTTAACTGACTCTTGATGAAGAGGTACATTTGTAATTTCCTAAGTACAATGACTAATTCTCAATATTCATATCTATATTTCAATATTGAAGAATGAATAGTAGCCTCATAAGTCAGTGCATATTCAACATTCAGAAAGGACATCTTCACTCAACTCTAGAGGTTGAAGATTGTCAATAATTTGATGATGGATCTAAGATCCACATGATGAAAGTTGATGTGGTTTGTATCAGCTTAAGTTCTTATTCCTCCTCATACGATTCTACTCACGGGTCTGCACTCTGATAACCGAGCCCAGTGATCGATCTCTCCAAGAACATCCTCTTGTTAAATCCATCAAACTCACAGTTTCTACCTGTGAGTAGAATTGTCCCATCCATAACTCGGCTGACGAGTTAGTCTGGCACTCTCCTCATAGCAATGGATGCCATTTCTCCCACTCCTGCCTGATCTACACTGACCATCGAGGGCTGGAAGTCTATCTCTAAATCGTTCCACACCAAGTCCTATTTGGTAATCCTTCTCAGTAAGAGGCTGTTGTATTACAAACTCTGGCATTATTATCTGCAGTCCTGGTGGTGGCACTGAAGTATATGAAAAATCAATTTCCTGGAAGTGAAGCAGTTAGGAAGGAAAAACAAAAGTAGTGATGAAAGTGATATACCTTGAGTCTTGAGGTTAGACGACTCAGTTTTGCTTCATCTTCATCTACATCTTCTTCTACTTCTTCTTTGTAGTCTCTGTCCATTTGCTTGTACATATGCCAATCCTCATCATTCATGCCAAAAGTATCTTCGTCCAAAGGTTGGTTGCATTAACAATTTCATTTGTTCTCTCTACACGGCAGTCAGCCTTTCACTTTTGACCGCCAGTCTGCAACTATAGTTGACCGTTGGTTGTGCAAACCTTCTGCTGTTTTCTTTGGTCTACCTTGGTTGAAACTTCACAATGGCTTCAGCTCCTCCAGATACTTCTCCAGGTTTTCCCTATGACAAGAAAGAGATGTAAATATTCAGAAAGAAAAAGATGTAAAAGATGTACAAGCAATGCTCTTCTTCCATTTGTTACTTGCGCTCTCTGCAGGGACTCTTCTTAACATCTTTGCCTTGCTCGAACGTGTCCCTCAACTACATGATCCTGATTTTTCCAGTTGTGTTGTTATTTTTTAAAAAATATGTTCTCCACACACAGAGAGAGAGAGAGAGAGAGAGAGAGAGAGAGAGAGAGAGAGAGAGAGAGAGAGAGAGAGAGAGAGAGAGAGAGAGAGAGAGAGAGAGAGAGAGAGAGAGTACCAATGCTCTCTCCTTGTGCATCACTTTCCTCCCTGCCCTAAAAGGCATTTTAATTTTTTTATGCCTTTATACTCTAAATTAACTGACATGATTATTATCTTATTATTCTGATTCAGAGAATGCCAGGACAAGCCTTTAAGAAAATATCTTGTGCAATAATGTTCTGGAATTCCATAAAAGTAAAAGTGTTAGAGAAAAAAACAAAAGGCTACAGCAGATCTCTCGTCTCAATGGCTGCTCCTCCACAGCCGCATGCTCTGGTCTTTCCAATGGATGGGCCTGGCCATTTCAATGCTCTACTCTCGCTGTCGGATCGACTAGCGGATGAAGAACACGGGTTGCAGATCACTGTCGTTTTGCCCCAAGTCACTGTGGATCGAAATCGGGCTTCTCTGGAGCGAGAACATCCGCGGATGGGCTTCGTTGGCGTCCCCGACGGCCGCGCAGACGTGGGATTCAAGTCGATTGGTGAGGTTTTCAAGTCGCTTGACCGAATGCAGGAGCCGCTCGAAGATCTGCTGCAGAGTCTGGATCCTCCGGCCACTCTGATCATCGCGGATGGCTTCGTTGGGTGGATGCAGGACGTTGCGGACAAATTCGGGATCCCTAGAGTCTGCTTCTGGGCTTCCTCTGCAACCTGCGAGATCCTGTACTTCAACTTGCCGTTTCTCATCTCCAGAGGCTACGTTCCTCTAAAAGGTAGAAACATGCCCATACTGGGCATTTGCTGTGATATGTTGTTCTTGGGAGATATCTGCTTTTACTTTGTCCTGCAGATCCAGAAAACGCAAACGAGCTGATCACGATCATACCCGGGCTACATCCAGCTCGCCGCAAGGATCTCCCACACTGCTTTCTCCATGAAGCTCAGGGATTAGAGTTGATGACCAGCTTCAGCCAGCGCACAGTGGAGGCATTGTGCGTGATCGGCAACACATTTGAGGAGCTAGAAGCTGAAGCAATCGCAGCGAACCAAGAGAAGCTGAGATACTTCCCAATCGGCCCCCTGCTGCCTCCGTGGTTCTTTCAGGATGAGCATTTGCCTGAGCCCACAGAAGAAGGCGATGTGAGCTGCATCGACTGGCTGGACAAGGAATCTCCAGGCTCGATTCTCTACATCGCATTCGGCAGCGGGGCTCGCCTCGCCACAGAGCAAGCGGATCGACTTCTAAAGGCGCTGGAAGCTGCGAAGTTTGGGTTCTTGTGGGTCTTTAAGGATCCAGACGATGACGCGCTTCTCCGGAAGGCGCAATCGCTCGAAGGCGGCAGAGTCGTCCCCTGGGCGCCGCAGCTGCGCGTCCTGCGCCATGATTCAGTGGGCGGATTTTTGTCTCACAGCGGATGGAACTCGACTATGGAAGCCATTTGTTCCGGGGTGCCGCTTCTCACCTGGCCACGGTTCGCCGAGCAGAATCTCAATGCCAAGATGGTGGTGGACAAGTGGAAGATCGGATTGGAGATCAACAATGACGATCCAAATGCGCTTGTGGAACCGGACAAGCTGGTGCAAGTGATGAATGCGGTGATGGATGGGGGTCAGGTTTCCAAAGAGCTCAAGGCGAATGCAATGAAGCTAAGCGAGGCTGCTAAAGGAGCTGCGAGTCAGGGTGGATCCTCCCACAAGAACTTGCTGGAGTTCATCGAGTACAGCAAGAATCAAGCAAAGAAACAGCAAGGCTGATTCACAGTTACATCTGAAACTCGTGAAATGCCCCGGATCGGCTCTTTATGAGCAGGTGTCTGATGAGCTTTCTGGACGATTAGTACATTTCAGGATCACTCTCATTCTATCTCAGGCTATGATTTGTGAGAGACCTGGTGCTTGGCAGCGAGACCAGGGTGTCGGCCATTCAGCAAAGCCTTAGAGGCGAATGATCGAATGCTGTATCCTGTTGAAGAGATGATGAAGACCCTGGATCTTCCAGCGGATTTGATCATCTCGGTCATCCTACGGACTCGGGAGGGCGTTCTTGCAAACACTGGAACAATCTCCGCATGTCGAAATCCATGTTGGCCCCTTGATCACTACTCCGCTGCTTGGACCAGCTTCCACTCTGTACCTTGCACGGAAGCGTGACTGTTCTATCCAAGAGCACTCCACTTTGCGGTGGCATGACTTTTATTGGGTTGTTATCGACGGTGCGTCGGTCTTCTTTATAGTGACTAGTCGTTGACTTCCATGTTGGGCCTCGCTGTGGCCGTCTACATCATAATCGTGAAGGTCGTATTCAGTCTATCCTGCAGTAGGCTTGGTTTTGGTTCGTGCGTGATCTATACTATAAATCAGTTCGTCATCAAGAGATGCGTGGGGAAGCTTTCATCTCTGGGTAAGAGATTCCACATTACAAGTAAGTTTTCCATTAAACGTCTTCTAAAAGTATTTTAGATTATTCTTAGATGATGCTCTTTATTATTTATTATTTAGATCAAACCAAAATATGAGTCTGGGTAGGTCCTGGCGGCGGACGAACAATGTGCGATGAAGAAAAGCCAGCTTTTCCTATTGCTCAAGTTCAAAAGAAAGGTCTAAAAGGTTCAGTATAAATACAAGCTATTTGGTCACAGCATGCAGCTTTCAATGGCAAATGTTAAGGGTTTGCTTTATGTTTTCTTACTCCTTGGTGTTGTTGTTGCTACTGCAAGGGAATTTTACACTCCAGCAATTGAGATCTCAAATGATGAAGTTTATAATCCTTTAGCAGCTGTATGCCGATGCCGAAGATTTACTTGTAGAGACCCGTTCACAATATGTACTTGTCGTTCCAATTGTAAAAGTTGTTTCTGTAGTTAAGCTTGTGATCCATGGTGAGTAGATTCATGCTTATACGCTCTAAATCATTTATTCTTAAATCTTGCAATCTTGCAGTGGTCCCGATGAAGCTTGAGATTGTACCTCTTCATAATAAGCATGACACTTGATGATTTAATAATGAATAAAACTAAGTATTCATTTTCTCTGTGAAAACCTATTTGATCCCGGCTTATGAATGTGGGTATATGGCCGGTTGCCATCCCCAGTGGAGGTTGGCATGACGCTTTCAAAGTGAGAGCTATGGGCTGGGATGCTTTGGCAAAAGCACGCCTGCTTGTTAGTCTCTCGCAGTGATCTTAAATTAGAGCCCTTTTCCTTTAGTTTAGGGCAAACATGGCAACATCAAGCTTGGCGCTGTCCCCTGCAAAATGCGTCCCCTCCAGGTAATCTCCCATCGCATTAGCAGCCCTACTGATCTTTGCGCCGCAGCTTCCCTCCCAGAATTTCCTTGAGGAGCTCCTCATCACCAGGTTAGCTAAATCATTGTCCTCTCTTTCTTCTCCCTCTCTTGGCCTAGCTTTGAGATCTTTTTCTCCAGGAGGACGGCTCCTAGGAAAATTGCCAGCTCTCGAAAAACTCTCGCACAGCAAGAGAGGGGGAAAATGCCGAGCTCAAGTGGTGATGATGCCGCTTGGAGTACCCAAAGTTCCTTACAGGGCGTCCAGCGAGGGAAGCTGGCAATACGTTGATATCTGGAACGTCCTGGTAACTTTGTAGCGCCATCTTCTTCTTGCTTTTCTTTTTTCTTTCTCTAAGTCATGGAAGATCTTTCCAGTATCAAGAGAGGATAGTTTTCATTGGGCAGCACATAGACGACGACTTGGCGAATCGGGTGGTGGCCACCATGCTTTACCTTGACAGTGTCGATTCGTCCAAGCACCTCCACTTCTACATCAGTTGCCCGGGGGGGAGTGTAAGAGCTAGAGCTTGGAGTTCTTCGAGTTTATGGTTTGTTTCTCTCGCAGTTAACTCCCTCCATGGCGATCTATGACACCATGGGAAGTGTGAGGAGTGGGATAGCAACTCTGGCTCTAGGTGCTGCCTATGATATTGCTGGTTTTCTCCTCGCAGCCGGAGAAAAGGTTCATAGCTTTACAAATGGTTCTCTTGTGCTTAAACTTTTTAAAACCAGGGAATGCGAATGGCAATGCCACTGGCGAGAATCGCATTACAGCCACCGGAGGGAGCAACTCGAGGCCAGGTTTGAGACCTCGAAAGAAATCTATCACCCAAGTTTCAAGCACGTTTGCTTCTTCACAGGCAGATGATATCCAAACCGAGGTGAACGAGCTTGGACGACTGCGAGACTGCCTCTACGAGCAGCTCGCCATCAACACTGGCCAGCCAGTTGACAAGGTAAATCCAAAGGAGAAACATTGGAGATCACGTATTTTTTTCGCTGTAGATCCACAAGGACTTGGACAGGATGAAGATTTTCAGCGCTCAAGAGGCTCTAGACTACGGCCTTATTGACAAGATCGTGCGACCACCAAAGTACGCGTCTTCCAGCTTGAGCATTGGCGGAGTTGGCCCTTACAACGCATCCTTCTAAAAAAGTTTGGGACGAAAGAATGTTAAAACCTCGTTCGTCGTATTCATATACTTCAATAGCTAACAAATTATTCCCGCTCCAAAAAATTTACAGCTCCTCTCACTCGCTCACTCTTAATCTTAGGCAGTCTCCCAATCATCCACCACCCTCTTCCATGGCTTTGCAGCTAGCGAACACTGTGGAGTTGCAGGTTTATTTTATTTAACCAGTTTAAAAATAAAGGAGTTTTATTTTATTTTTATTAAATTTTAACTAATATAATTAAATTTCAAAGTATGAAGTTTGAAATTTTTTGAGTGAAGCACAATGGTTGTTCATATCAAATGAATATAAAAAATTGCAAAATGCATTTGATAAATATTATATTATGATTCATTTATTAATGTTTAGAAGAAAAGAAAGAAAAAAAGGGGACAAATAAAAATATTTTTATTAATACAAAACTTATAGCAAGTAATTTGTTATAACAATTTTGGGGGGAAGGTACCAAGAGGGGAAGTGTATCTAGGGTGGGTAACTTGGTAAAATAATTATGCAAGTTTGCAAAATATATGAAAAAGAAATACATATTAGATAATGAGGTTTTGTGATATATATATGATATATTTAAATTGTTGTAACACACATCTATGACTCACAAGATAAAACTAGTTATTCTAATTACTAAAAGTATTGAGAATATTTACATGTTATAACAATATCTAAAAAATGAATATCTTCCACTATCTCTAGTATCGTATATCTTTATAATGCTGGATTGTGGAAAAAATTACAAAGTGATGTTAAATAATGGTGGAGCAAAAAGATGAATATATTTGTATAAATGCAATTTTATTTTATTTAGTTACATATAAAAATATTATGTACATATTATATAAATATTATGTATGTAACGTGATTGTGTGTATAATATTTTATCATAAAATATGACACTTTAGACTGCTACATAAAACTGATGCTACATCATTATAAATGTAGTGATGGTTTTTTTTATCTTATTTTTTTATCATTGACTCAAATTTATAACCTTCTGATTTTATCATCTCTCTCTTTTTATTTTATGTAACTATGGTTAATTTCTTGCGGCTTGGAAGTGTGTTTAAATTATAGTGCATTTTAATATAATTATGACATTTTAATCATTCTTACAAGTGCATTATTTGCAATGTAGGGCCTTAGTGTAAAGCTTTAATATAAGTAGTGATCAATTGACACAAAGGCAAATATAATCAATTAGAGTATAAAGGCAATGACAAAACATTTTTTTAAATCATTTAATATAATAGTTTTTGTGTAAGCAAATGAATTTTGTTGTAACTATGGTAAAACATTAACTTCATTAATTTCTTACATTTATAATCATATATATATAAATTTTTGGCATTGTGGTGGTTTGATATGCTATCAATCCAAAACTTAGAATCTTTCTTTCTTAGGTATAACTTTTTATTAAAAATAAAAGTTTAACTTTCTAGTTTGAGATATAATGATTGTGTTATGGTGAGTAAAAAGTATTGCAATACAAATAGTTGCACATAAATAAATTTATGAATATTTATTTCTAACACATGCAGTAATGTATATGTTTTTCATTTTAAATTTTTTCTATGATTGAAGAGTTAAAAGTTTTGCATAAGTATAAATGATGCACACCTTTAGTATATTAATTTGTTAATTTGTTAGGCCCTTTATCCCACTAAAATTTACTATATGTTGTCACATTAATAATGTTCTAAAATATAACATCATCACTTTGTAACTTTCTTCATAATTCACCATTGCAAAAATATAGGATCTTAGGGATAGCGAAAAATATTTATTTTTTGATATTATTCATGGCGCAAAAATACTTTTTCCATAAATCCTCCATTAATATAATTATGTAATTGCCCCATAAAAAATATGTTATATATAGATTTTAGAATTAGAATTCATCCTCTAAATTTTGTAAAAAACCTTTTATGGTTAATATATATATCAATCTTGCAATTATGACTTATGTAAAGCCAAAAGAGTTTAGTGTAGTTAATTAATTTACTAACTTACTAGTTAAAATTTATGCAACACAAAAAATAGTATATGTGGTGCTAACCTATGAATGCATGCCCATGTGAAAAAAAAAGAGGTTTTGTTTAAAATATTATTTCATAAGTCACATAAATATATTATAACAATTAAACATACATGTATTTTTTTCATATATATATTTTGCAGGTTTGCATAAGTTTTTGTTAGGCTACCCACCACTATCACAAAGTGGTTGCTATATTAATTCATTGCTTCATTTATATATTGTTTACAAAGTTTAATAATAAAACTGAAGTAAAATAAAAGTATATTTATGTATTTAAAATTACTTGATTATTAATGATTCATTTTGTTTTGATGATCTCTTATTATGACACTAATGGACTAATGGACACTAATGGAAGTGAGAATGGACAAATTTTCAGCCACAAAGCATCTTGACTGTTAAAACCTCACAGTAATCATATACTTCCACGGCTAGCAAATTATTCCCGCTCCAAAAAATTCACAACTCCAAATGGAGCTCTCACTCCCTCTCTCTCTCTCTCTCTCTCTCTCTCTCTCTCTCTCTCTCCTAATCGTAGGCAGTCTCCCAATCATCCACCACGTTTTGATCATCCTCCTCCGCGGCTTTTGCTGCTAGCGAGCGAGCTTCCACACTCCCGGACGCTGAGGAGCCACTGCTCGAGCTCCCCTTATCTTGCTCCAAAGCCTTCCACGGGTTGCTCACAAGAGTCACCGGGTTCCTCTTGAGCCACACACCTCTTCCCGGCTCCTCGACTTTAGCCTCGTCGCCGCGGTGGCCGTGAGCCCGAGGTGGCGACGGAGCTCTCGCGGTGGAACTGGAAGGCGCCCCCCAGCCGAGCTGCTTGTGCACAACCGCGCCACTCCCGAGCAGCGGGAGGACGAACGCACCGTGATACGGCGTCGCATGGTCGACCCGCTTCAGTGCCGTCGCAGCTCGAGAAGGATCCGTGAAGATGGTGATAGCGTTCCTGTCGTTGAGCCATATCAGCTCGCACTCCCCGGCAAACCTCAGCACCACGCGGCTGATGTCCCCCTCGCCGGGAAGATCCAGAAGAGCCACCACCAGCTTCGGGTCCACGTCCAGGCCGGGGTTGAACAACGGTGCCACGACGTTGAGCTTGATCAGGCGGCCCGGCATTTTCGACTTGGAGTTTACGTGCACCACCAGGTAGCGTCTCGCCTCCCAGCCGACGCTGCTCGAGGAGAGGTTCCACCTCTGCGCCAGCTGATAGATCACTTCCCGCTTGTCCTTCGGGAGAGGCGCGAAGACGTGGACGCGCAGCCCCGTCACGCAAGCCACCGACTTGGGGCCGAGCAGCAAATACTTGAACCTGTCCTCCACCGCCGTCACGAACTGCGAGTCCCTCTTCGCCATCTCTTGGACGCAGTCCGAGCTGCCATACGCTGTCAAGGGATCGCCGTTCGTCTCTATCCCCAAGGCATCGGCAAGTGACTTGAGCCTCTGCGCCTTCACGCAGTCGTCGTCACAGCTGAGCTTTCTCTGAGAAGCCGGAGCTTTGTCTCTGGTAGCAGCGCCTCCCATCTCACACGGAACAGCAGCCGTGAGCCGCTCGCAACTACAGGTGATGGTCTCCATGAACTCGCATCGAACGTCCGGACAGGGTGACCCCGGGTGGCAAGCCGCGACGCAAGTATGCGAGCACTCCCTGCGAGAAGCCCCGCAGACTTGGCCGCATGACAGGCTGCTGCTGTCATCACTGTCGCATGGATCCGAGTGACAAGTCTTCCCGCACGGATGCACACCGCACTTGCGCAGCTTCCCGCACGGCCTGTTGCACTTGATCTCCCTGGAGCCGCACGGCACGTTCCGCATGGTGACGTGCTGTCCCACGCATTCCTTCGCGACAAGCACGGTACACGGCGGACACTCTCCAAAGTGGCAAGTGTGAGTAGCAGGGTGGCCGCACGGCTGAGGAACGAGGCACAAGAAGTCGCAACGCGGTCGAGGAGTGCCGCAAGGAACCGGTGGCGGAATGGATGACTTTCCACAGGCGCACGAGAGATCTGTGAAGCTGGACTGTAGGCACGGTCGGCAGTGCCCCGAATGGCACAGCTCCTGGCAGAAGTGTTCCCCGCACCGCAGCTTCTTTCCACACTCGAGCATGCAAAAATGGTTATCCCCTGAATCACTCGGACAGCATTTGACGTTGCACCTGTGCCTGCCGCAGTTTCGCTTCTTCTCGCACTTCTTGTCGCAGATGAAAGAATGCTCGTCGCTGGTTGAAGTAGCGACGTTGCAGGGAACAACGCGAGAGGAGGCACCACACCGGCACTTCTGCTCCACAAGCACCTCGCACGGCGGACAGGGCCCAAGGTGACACAAGTTGATACATTCGTGCCTTCCGCAGCTCACGTACTTCCCACACTCCTGACCACATGTTGGAACCGGATCGAGGCAGCTCCTCCTAAGAGCTCGTAGAGTCGTCTTCTTGCATGGACATGTCGCTACGCTCTCCGGAGAAAGCTCGCAGTCACCACAATCGCCGGGATGGCACTCCCTCGAGCATACGTGATTGCCGCAAGGTAGAAGCTTCCCGCAAATGGATCCACAGGAGAAAATGCCGTTGCCTGCGACGTCTCCTGGTACCGGGACTTGTCCGCAAACCACACGATCCAGTTTCCTCCGGCAAAAGCACGCCACTGCGACCACCACCTTACACCCTCCACACTCATCCTTGTGGCAAACCCGGGTACAGTAATGCCGACCGCACGAGAGCATCCCTCCACACTGATATCCACAGCTGACCACACCTTCGTCCCTCTCGATGCAGCGTCTCGTCACAACTTTCCTTCCACAGCCACAAGCTTCCGGGAGCGCAAACGCCGCACAGGGAGGACACGGACCGGGATGGCACTGGAGCGTGCAAATGTGCTGGCAAAGGCCCAGCTTGCTCTTGTCCAGAGGCTTCTTGCAAGTCCCACCGCAAGAGTGTGGAGTCAAGTAGAAATCCACCGGGGGTTCCAGCTGCTGCCCGCAAAAGCACCAGTACTGCAAGTCGTTCGCTGGAGAGAGCTGAATCGCCTGGCACCCGGGACACCTCCAGTTGCCACTCTGATCCACCGAGGTTGGAGCTCGAGCCCACTTCCTGATGCACGTAAGGTGGAAGATAGAGTAGCAGCCCGAGCAAGACCACACGCGGGCGTTTCGACCGATCATGTCGTAGCAGATCATGCATTCCATCTCCCCCTTTTGCAGTTTTTCCAGAAGTCCCTGAGCTAGCTGAGGAAGAGCGCCGGCGGGGGTGACCGTCGTGGTCGACATGCTCAATCTTGCAAACTCGGAGCTCACGAACTGCTGCGCTGGTAGTGATGGCGGCTGTTCTTGAGAGGTCGGCAGCTTTCTTTCTCTCCACGCTTGCCTCGATGTTCCATTGGCGCCGCCTCTTCGATTCGAAATGTGCTGCGGCATCGCCTCACCTGGCTTGGATTCCGTGTTCCTCAAGCCACTGCCATTGCCGCCTGTAGACCTAGTTCCTCCTCGTGCGTTGATCGTTTGCTGGCGATGGCTATCCTCCATTCGAGAACACTGTGCACCAAACTGTAAGGATCCCGATCGCAAAGACGCACACGGCACTGACCTCTTCGTCGCGAGAACCCTAGCGCCCAGCGCCTAGAGGAAGCTGGTACCGCGTTCGTGCAGCCAGGAAGAACCCTAGATATATTGGTCTGAAGCATTCGCTACACGTGGCAGCCTGCTAGGTGGCCACATTGTGATCGTTGATTCTTTGCCAGGGTTTTATCCTTCTCGCGAGCGATGGCGCTCTCCATGGCGGTGGCGCTGCCTTGCGCGAGCAGGCGCCAGAGAATCCCCGATGCTTCTTCGTGTTCTTCGCGTTCCAGGATTGTTGCGGTGGTCCAGGGCAGGAGTAGGATTGGCATTCCCTCACAATGGACGCGATCCAGCAGCGGCAGCTGCATTGGAGCAGCATTGACATCGTTTAGTGGAAGAACTTGCCTGGATTCCGGTGAGTGAGCCCCTCGATCTATCACCTCCTCACAATCTCTCGAAATATTTCGTAGGCATCTATGTCGATGCGTCGATCGGCTGCCGGAATTTCGGCATTGGTATTGGCAATGGCTCGCGATTCTTTGCCATGCGGCACGGCCGCAAGGTCCCCAAGCTCAACCGGCCCCCGGACCAGCGCCGCGCGCTTCTCCGCGGCCTCGCCACGCAGCTCCTCCGGCACGGCAGGATCAAGACGACGCGCGCCAGGGCCAAGGCGATGCGCCCCCACGTCGATCACATGATCACGCTGGCCAAGGGAGGATCGCTCCACCAGCGAAGACAAGCTCTGGGCTACATCTATGACAAGCAGCTGGTTCACGCCTTGTTTGCCGAGGTCCCGGAGCGCTACTCAGAGAGAAGTGGAGGATACACCAGGGTGATCAGGACAATGCCCCGGAGGGGCGACAATGCTCCCATGGCTTACATTGAGCTCGTGTAGGAGACGAAGCTGGGAAGGAGGTCCCGGGTTCGATTCCTCCGGCTCACTCGTATTCACCACTCGTGTATTTCATTTTTTTTTTCTTCTTGATGACTGGGAGTTTGCATTTCAGTGTTGGCTATGGCGTTCTTCCTCGTTCGTCCTCGTCCGTTTGTGGCGGAGCACAACTTTGTTTTTTTCGTGTTTCAGGAATTATAATGCCGCATTCACCTCGTGCTGCTACTACGACGCAACCCACGTAGATCAGGTTCCAATCGAGATCTCTTCATCGCCCCCTCTAATCATTTCCTTGGTTCTCTCAGGTTCTTTCATGGATTCGCAAGCAAGCTCCAGCAGTCTCCTCGGAGATGACAATGAGGGAGCCACCGGAATTTACCACTCGCTCAATTGGTTGCTTGTTCGGCTGACGCTGGCTGCTGGTGTCGGGGGCCTCCTCTTCGGCTATGACACAGGTTGTCACACATTGTTTTTCATGTTTCTCACAATCACCGGCTGCGCACCGTGCAGGAGTGATATCTGGAGCATTGCTCTACATTCGTGATGACTTTGAATCCGTGAATGAGAGCACTTTCTTGCAAGTAAGCTACCTCCGCTTGTTTGCGTGTGAAAGCATTGACAACCACTGTTATTGTTCTTGTAGGAGACAATAGTTAGCATGGCTATTGCTGGAGCAATTGTTGGAGCAGCCTTTGGAGGACACATGAATGATCGCTTTGGACGCAAGTTTGCAATGTTTTCTGCAGACGCTGTCTTCGCAGCTGGAGCAGTTGTCATGGCAGCTGCGCCCAATCCATATATGCTGATTGCTGGCCGCTTTCTCGTAGGATTGGGAGTTGGCGTGGCCTCAATGACGGCTCCGCTCTACATTGCAGAGGCTTCCCCGAACAGAATTCGCGGGGCTTTAGTGAGTACCAACGTGCTCATGATAACAGGTGGTCAGTTCCTGTCCTATCTTATCAACTTGGCCTTCACCCAGGTAAAGCTTCTACCATTGTCGAGCTGACCTTTACGCCTGAATTTCTGTAGGTACCTGGCACTTGGCGGTGGATGCTAGGAGTTGCTGGAATACCTGCTATTGTACAAGCTATACTAATGTATTCTTTGCCTGAATCGCCTAGATGGTTGTTTCACCAGGTAAGATGTGTACTTGCCTTTCAGCGCTCTTACGTTCGAATGATCAGGGAAGATACGAAGAAGCAGTGTCAGTGTTGGAAAAGATATATCCAGCAGAGCAGGTGAAACATGAAATCAATGGCCTTCGAGCCTCTCTGGAAGAAGAGGAAGAGGCGCCACGAATGTTAAGGATACGGGACATAGTGGGGTCGAAACAAATCAGGCTGGCCCTTCGAGCGGGCGTGGGACTGCAGGTATCTCGTTTCGTGTGTCTTCCTTGTTTAATCTAAAACTGTGAAGTATTTCAGATATTCCAGCAACTGGTTGGCATCAACACCGTTATGTACTACAGTCCTTCTATCGTGGAACTCGCGGGCTTTGCCTCGCACTACACAGCGTTGCTGCTCTCCCTTGTAATCGCCGGAATGAACGCTCTTGGGACCGTCGTAGGTATTTTTGTCATTGACCACGCCGGCCGCAGGAAGCTGGGCATCTCTAGCCTGGTTGGCGTTGTCTTTTCGCTGGCAGTACTGTCTTCGGCATTCTACCTTACTGCCAGAGATGCTCCGTTGGTAAGCACGCATGCTTCTTTTGAGACTCCAGATCTAATGTGCCCGGCGCTATCACCTTCGAGGCTAACTCCATGGACTTGCATGGACTGCTTGCAATCTACATGCGGCTTTTGTGCTGTCAAGAACAACCAGGTTGGCTCAAACTTTTCCTCTGTCTTGGTTTCCGGAAGTCTCATTCTTTTTCTTACAGATGCTCCCAGGCCGCTGCCTCGTCTCCACCGCTTCCAAGTTTTGCGGAGCCGATGGAGGTGGCTGGTTCTCGCAAGGCTGCCCGAGCCGATACGGTTGGCTGGCTCTAGTCGGCTTGGCCCTCTACATAAGCTGCTTCTCTCCGGGAATGGGCCCGGTGCCCTGGACGATCAACTCGGAGATCTATCCTCTCAAGTACCGAGGAGTTTGCGGAGGAATCGCTGCTACGGCCAACTGGATTTCCAACTTGATCGTGGCTCAGACGTTCCTGTCGCTGGTGAAAGCCGTGGGAACGTCGCTCACTTTCGCGCTCTTCGGCGTCATTGCTCTGATTGCCATCGTCTTCATTGCGTGCTTCGTCCCCGAGACGAAAGGACTGTCGTTCGAGGAAGTGGAAAACCTGTGGAAGCCTCAAGACCAGGACAGTGATCAGCAGCCCCTGGTGCGAGACTGAGGAAAGGAAGCAAAATTTTCCTGGATGGATTCCACCCAACGAAGGTCTCACGGAATGATCTGTAGGATCCCGGGGACCAAGATTTGCCCCAAAAAAAATTGAGACTGGAAGCTCGCTTTACGATCCAAGGAAATCATGCCGCCTACGATCTACAGTGGTCCGTAATCCTCGACAAGAATGATCGAGGTGCCCGACAAAGCGTGTGTGAGAGCCGAGAGCTCCACTTGGCGGCGGGTTGGATTGGATCGACAAGACCACAGTTCCATCGCCTTTGCGAGCTCCATTTCCCTGTTCTAAGCTCTGGAGCTCGTTTTATTGGGAAGAACATAGCCAGGCTCTGGAAATTTTTACTTGCGAGCCAATGCTGCGAGCGGCATGAAGAAATCCTTGTGGATCGCAACTACTGGCGAGCTAAAAGAAGAACAAGACCGACAAAAAATTGTTCAAGGCTCTGTTTGTCCAAAAGGTATGAATCGCAGCCGTTAGATGAGTTCCACCTTTTCTCGTTTCAGTATATAAACGGGCTTTGCGTATTAGGTTCTCCACTAAAGGTTTTGGCGAGATGAAGACATGGTCGAAGATTTTAGTGTTTGGGTTTGCGATCTTGGCTCTCTGCGCGTGCGTGTATGGGAGATCGGTTCCTCAGCTTCGGACTATCTACATGGGAGACTCAATCTTTGATGTTGGAACTAACAAGTACGTGAAAAACTCTGTTTCGCGTTGTGATTTTGTGCCATATGGGAAGACAAGGTATAACAAGCCATCAGGAAGGTGTAGCGATGGGTTTCTAATTCCAGATCTGATAAACCAAGTGATCGGTTTGCCCTTTTCAAAACCATTCTTGGGCTTGAAAGCTGGGAGCCAACTCCCACTGAGCATCAACTTTGCGTTGGACGGTAGTGGATTACTTGACTCTACTCACTCGGACTGGGGTGTTGTGTCGTTTAACGAGCAGCTAAAACAACTCGAGCAGCTAGCCAACAAGATCTCCAAGAAGAATCTCAATGATTTTGTGGTTGTGATATCTTCGGGTGGTAACGACATTGCGGCAAATCTTCAAAACACTGCTGAGATAGACTTGGAAGCAATGCTAGTGTTATTGGAGAAAGGCTTGGAGCAGCTCTATAGATATGGATTCAGGAAGATTGTCTACTCGAGCGTTGGGCCTTTAGGGTGTGCGCCTATTGTCACGTCGGGTGGAAATTGCGTGAGAGAGATTAACAATCTAGTAGAGCAATTCAATGGGCAAGCTCGGGAGATTGTTTTGGGGGTGGCAAGAAAATTCCCAGGGATGAGAGGCACATTTGTTGACGGCTATTCACTGATCAAATCCTTTGTGGAGAACCCAGTTAAGTTTGGATTCAAGAATGGAGGGGGTTGTTGCCCCAATTGCCTATCACACAAAAATACCTTGAGCGGGCTGTGCAAGAATCCAAGTGATTATGTTTTCTGGGATTTAATTCACCCAACGGAGCACACGTACACACTACTGAGGAGAGAATTCACGAAACAAATCGCAAAAATCCTGTAAACTCACTGAGGATGCTTACTGATTTTTGGTTTGCTTAAGAAAATTTATAAAGGGACTGAGATGGTAGTGAATATATTTGAATATTTTAAAATATCTTACCATCTAATGATTGTTATTCATTTAGATTAATTTTACATTTATAATTTATAAGTTTTCCTAAACACTTTTTATTATATTCTTTTTTATTTTACCATCTTAATGGTTGATATGCTGTTGTTTATAAATTATATACAAATTTCCATTTGATCAATTAAATTAATAAATATTAAACAAATCAAATGTTAGTGCATGCAAAGCACACCAAATTTTTTTTACTTTGTACAAGATATGAGAAAAAGAAATACAAAAAAGTGTTTTGAACCATCTCCAGGTCACCTCCACGTCTCACAATGCGTTAAAGATCAACTGGAGCTCTTTTAAACAGGGACAAGGTGGTTGTAGATGACAGGATTAACATCGCTGCTGTGGGAAAGTCCGAATGGATCCCGACACGATTGTGATCAACGTTGGCTATGACCAAAATGGAGTGTCGATTATGTTAATCACCAAGTTCTGCAGCGGTCTCGACCCAAGCACCGAGGAAAGTGCATTGGAAGTGGAAGGAGGTAAAAATACACACTTTGCAAAAGCTATATAGTTTTTTCATTCGCTTGCTCGTGGAAATTGTGTAAACCAAGAAGTTGGTCAAATCTTGGCCACTGACCTGCGAGAATCCCGATCCAAAAGCCGTGGACCTCTATCTATCAAACTGGAGTTCTCTAGAGAAGTTGGTACCGGTGGTTCAAGGAGGAACAGAGGTATTGCCGAGCCTGAGCCATAGCGACTTGGCCTGCGAAAAGAAGAGTTCCATCCACAAGTTCCTGGACTCGCTCAAGACCTTGGCCGAGTTCAGTCCGGCAGATTACCGACGGCCGAAGCCTCAACTTCGTCGATGCCTCGTCGTTGACCAGTGATCCAGGGTTTTTCCAAAATCAAGACTGGCAACAGGGGAAGATGTATTGTCGGGAGCATTCATGGGCCGCGGCTAGAGGAGAGCAAGTATTGCGTCGATGCATATCTGCTCGTGATGAACATGAGCTCAAGTCCGTGGCTTACTCCATTTGCAGAGCACTCGGGCTGCTCCAAAACGAAGGTAAAAACCATCGCGGTGGACAGAAGCCAAAGCTCAAGTTCCGGGACTGGGACGAGGACGAGCTCGGGGCGTACACTGGCGAGTCAAATTTGTATCAGCTGGGAGTGATGCTGGAGAAGCTGATCACGCCGGCGGCAAGCCATGGTGGTGGTGAACGAAAGAGGAAGATCGAAGATGGGCTCGCATTTATCAGCAAGCTCAGGATGATCGAAGGTAGGTAAATCGAAGCGAAAGTGTTGATCAAGCTAGATTATTCAAGCTAAAGTTTATCCACCAAAGATTCTAGGCCTTTTTCCAAACCCATGTAACGAGAAATATTTTACCGGGGAATATACTCCTTGTGATGGGTTGGGCTAGGGTTTTTTAGCTATGGCGCTCCAGCAGCTCGGGCAGGAGACCGTGCCCTTGTCGGTACTCGTCAAGCGCGCGGCCGAGGCCGCCTACACCGGGCTCAAGGAGGTCTGCGAGGCGGCGCCCGAGCAATCCGACGCCGAGAAGAAGATCAGCCTTCTCAAATTCATCCTCAAGACGCGCCAGCGCCTCCTCCGCCTTCTCGTCATCTGCAAATGGTGTCGCCAGGTACAAATCTCTCTCGATTGCCATCTCGATCGATCGATCGATCGGGCGATCGGAATGTAGAAATGTCGATTTATTTTTGAGAATGTGTGTGATTTTTATTCGTTTGCTCTCTTAGATTCCTCTCGTGGAGCGATGCCAGCAGCTCATGGGGACGCTGTCCAATCACGACATGAGCTTCACCCAAGCGGCCGATTCCATGTTCTACCTCCACGAGAGCTTGCAGCAGTCGCGAGCGCCCATGTACGATGTCGCCTCCGCCATGGACGTGCTCTTCACCGGCGGCTTCCCACGAATGCCCAAGTGCATCGAGGATCTCAACGTCCAGCCGGTTCTCGAGGGGTGGAAGAAGGACAACGTTCTTCAAAAGCTCGACACCCTTTTGCGATCCAAGCTCCTGGACATCGCCATTCCAAAGGAGTTCACGTCGGTCTCGGTGCGCGATGGCCGGCTCACGCTGCGCGTGGATGGAGAGTTTGAGGTGGAGCTCACTCTCGGCTACCGGGGGAATGCGTCGCTGTGGAGGGTGCTCCATTTGAAGCTGCTAGTCGGGGAGAGCTCCAGGCCGGCAAAGTTCTCGGACATGCAACGTCTCGCGCTCTCCGACGATCTGGAGCGGAGGATGTCGGCTCTGGAAAACCCGTTTGGGATCATCTACACTGTTCTTCACGAGTTTTGCGCCGCGCTGGTGATGGACACGCTTTGGCGCCAAGTTCGTGCGCTGAGGCACGGAAGGTGGAAGGACGCTATACGGCTGGATCTCTCGTTTGAGACGGCCGCGTCTGGGAATCCGGCGACTCAAGCTCCCGCTGACGCAGAGGCGGATCCGTCCAAGTCGCGTGTTCATGGCGTGAAGATAACTTACTGGCTCGACTTGGCCAAGGGTGGTGAGAGCTTGCTACCGAGCTTGAGGATCGAGCCGGGTAGTGACCAGAGAATTTCCTGCCAGCACCAGCCGCCGCTCACGGATCCTGGGACTGGCAACGACGCTGAGTTTGTACTAGATCAGAGCCGCCTGGACGTCGAGAAGTTGATACTCCGAGTCATTAACTGCAACATTCACTCCCGGCTCGTCGAGGTCCAGAAGAGTCTAAAAGCCAACACTTATATTCACAGGGTGGAAGACGATGTGTTCTTGAAATCTTCTGCGCAGGTCAGTGAGAGATAAAGCTTACATTCTTGGCGTTCCTAATGGTTTTTGTGTTTCTTTTCCTGTGCAGGATACCTCGGACATCGGTGAAGATAGCCTTCATGTGCGCGCTTATGGGGATCTATATATCTGTCTTAGTATCAGTATCAGGTGCGTTGCTCTTTGCCTTGTTGAGAACTAAATTCACTGGATGTTAATAGGAATGGACGTTTTGTACTTCGAGCTCCCTCAACATTACTCTCATTGTCTTTAGTTCAAGAGATGGAGGAGGCGATAAATCAGGGGACCTCGGTCGTTGATGTCTTTATCAATCTGCGCAATCAAAGTATTATCCACCACTATGCATCCTTGGGCGGATCAATGAATCTGAAGGTTGGTAGTACTTTTCTTTAAAAAATTTTTTTTCTCAGAGAAGCTTTGCAGGTCTTTGAAAAAGGTGCCATAACGCTGAAATTTCCGGAGGATGGACCTAAGCTTGGCTCAGACGTACTTGTTCTGGGATTTCCCAACACCGGCGATTTGTACTTCCTAGCAGTGCATCTCGATCCAGCATTTATGCCACTCTTTGTTCTATTGGAAGCTCAAAAGTTGGTGCCGCTACCAAATCGGACAACTGTTGCAGCAAAGCATCTGGTCATACGAAGGTACATGAGCATCGACATCAGCAAATTTTCTTTGGCTGGCAACGATGAAAACTTGAGTTTATTAAGTGACAACGTAAAAAGTGGAGGCAGGAGCTTAGTTCCCAAGACAGCTGAAGTGAGGAATGGGTTTGACAGGATGGACAACCAAGTAGTAAAACTGGAAAAGGCGGAGCAACAGCCGAACTTCGCAATGGGACAGCTGCAACGCTATCATGCGTCACCTTCAGTTTCATTGGGAAGTCCATCCAGCAGAGCCAGCTTTGGCAACCACAACAGAAAATCGTCATCAAGCAATAATCTGCTAGCGTTGGTGTCTCAAGCCATGGGAAGCCCAGCCAGAAACTCATTTAGCCGGATGTCTCCATCGACAAAGTTACCGGAGCTGGAGTATGGTCGCTTAAAGTCCCCTCTACTTCCTGTGGATAATCCCGCCTCTCCGGACCTTGACGACGATCATCTTTCGAAGCTGATCGAGTCGATCTCAACGGGTGGACCAGCAACGGATAACATGGCCAGTACAGGTTTAAGACAGGTTCATTCGTCACCGTCGTCGAGAACGGTGAAGTCGGCCTCTAAGAATTCGTTGAAGTCTCTACATCTTGTACCTCGCAAGGGCCTACCGGATGGGTTGGGATCACCCCTGGCAAAGGATATGGATCGGTCGCCTTATCTTCTTCCAGCCCCTTCACGTCAACTGAGTTCCTTGAAGCGCAAGCCAGAGTCGGACATTTTCTCGTCTCTCCCGTCACTGCAGCGACTAAGCCTTGGAGCAAGGAAGAAACAGAAAGTTGAAGCGCCATCGAACGCCTTGGAAGTTTTCTCTGGACAGCCTTATGCTGCCGTTGTTGCCGCTGCAAATCAAGGGAAGGCTCCTCCGGTGACACATATGGCCGTACTTCTGCACGTCGTGAAGAGGTCCTGGCTGGTGATAAAGCACGCTCGTCTAACGAACCAGATGGATTCACTCGGCATATCGTACGTCGAAGAAGGCAGGCTTTCATCATCCGCGGGACTCATTTTCCGTCTGGCAACTTCACGAATGAGAGGAGATATGGGAAAGTATTGCAATGCTTGGCAGCGGATATCTTTGAGCCTGGGACAGCACGGCAGCGATGGATGGGAAGTAAAAGTCCGTGATTCGCACTATAAAAGCCTGTGGAGCCTTCAGAAGCAAAAGGTGGCGGATTGGGGAGCTGGTGTTCAGCTCGCGGCTTTGTCGGAGGCTGATGCTCACATCAAATGTAGTCAAGAAGGCTTGATTCTTAGCTACAGTACGGTGGAAGACGACAGTATCAAGAAGCTTTTAGCAGATCTAGAGCGCTTAAGAAGTGCTCGAGCGTTTGCACACTGCATGAAGAAGCTTCTGGAGGACAGGATGGACGAGGGAGACGAAGGAGCTTCGCGGACAGATACGAAGTGGGAAGCAATTACCAGGGCTTTCAAAGTCGAGGCTTTGGGCCTTACGAGCTTATGGTTCAGCTATACAGGAAGCATGCCAGGAATACTTGCACGATTTGTGGTAGAATGGGCATCCGACCAAGAGGGTTGCATAGTTCATGTCTCGCCGGAACAACTGTGGCCCCATACGAAGGTATGTTTTTCCGAGTTCCAGCTTCTCTGATCTTCTAACAGGTTTAAACTTTCCAGTATCTGGAGGACTTGATTAATGGAGGGGACGTGGAGCTTCTACTTGATGCCATCCGGATAACGGCTGGTCCTTTACATGCACTTGCCGGTGCAATCCGTCCAGCACGAATGACAGCACCTGTTTCGAGCATTGTCGCTTCTGCCATTTCTCCGCCAGGTCAGGTTTCTCCTCCAAATAGTTCCGCCACGCCTCAGTCCAGAGCTACAGGACTCTCGATCCAGATTCCAACTATCACTTCCGGCCCCGGGAGAGGGCCTGGTCCAGGCATAGTTCCAAGCTCCCTGTTGCCAACGGACATTTCCGTTCTCATGCGCTCGCCATATTGGATCAGGATAGTCTACAGAAAGCAATTCTCGGTGGATATGAGGTGCTTTGAAGGTGACCAAGTGTGGCTGCAGCCAGCTCCTCCGCCTCAGGGTGCTGGTCCCGACGCAGGCGGTTCCTTACCTTGCCCGCAGTTTCGGCCGTTCGTCATGGAGAACGTTTTGAACAGTTCTGAGACTGTGGTCACCGGCGTACAGCAAAATGGTCCGGCATCTGCCAATCCTCGCTCGAATGCAAGTGCTACTCGGAATACTCCAAGCTCAGCGGCATCTGGTCGGAACCTCGTCATAGGGGGGCCCGGTTATCCAAGCTACAGGGGTGAGCTAAACTCTGCGTTCTGCGGCGTGAGTGACGATGGAGGTTACAGCGGTGCATGGGTGCCTCTTCCTGCTCTCAAAAAGGTCCTGCGCAGCACTCTTAAGTATCTCGGTGTCCTCTGGCTCTTTGCGCAGTTCCCCAATATTATTCGCGAGGTACTTGGCTCCGTTATGAATGGGAGAGATGGAACTCTTCTCCACTTGGATCCTGAGCAACCTGCTTTGCGATTTAATATCGGGTACGTCAACTTTTGGCTTATAACCTCTGTACTGACTTGCTTGTCACGCTGTGCAGGAATTGCATGTTTGCTGTGAATATGCATCGCCACCAGCTGTATTTACAAGGTTTGAACGTGAAGAAGTTTCAGCAACCGCCTCCCGAGCTACAAACAGACCCCCCAGGAGCAGACGCGGACCTGACAAATGGTGAAATGCTGGAAATAACTGAGTTCTTCGCTCAACGAGTCGCATCTGAACCGTATGATGCCTCCCGCTTGGCCTCGTTCGTGACGATCCTGACGCTACCGATAGCTGTCCTTCGGGAGTTCCTTGGATTGATATCATGGATGAAAGAGGCCCAGAAGAACCAGGCCGTGGAGGCCACCCCTCGGCCGAGGATTGAGCTGTGCCTGGAGAATCGTTTGGTGATCAACACCACCATGAAAGAGGAAGCTGGCAGCAGCACGTCCGTGAAGAGCAGCATACTGCACGATCGCGAAAGAGAAATCGTGGAGTTCGCTCTGACTGTTTTCTTGGACCTGGGTCCTCACGTCAACGTGAACGTTGCTGGAGGTGCGGGGTGGCTGCCGCAGTGCGTATCGGTGCGGATGAGATACTACTACAACAAAGGTGGAAGGCGGGTGCTTCTGGTGGGCTTGGAAGGCAGTCATGGGGGCAGGGCTTGCTGGTCCAGGGGTGACGAGTGGGAGAGGCTGAAAGAGAGGACCAAAGTGCTGGAAGCTGCTGCCGCCGGTCAAGAGTCAAGTGGGAGATTGCGGGCAGTAGCGGAATCTGTGCAATTAACTTTGCAGTCTGCGCTCCAGCAGCTCCGTGCGGTGTGAATGAAATTCTGCGCTCTGCGGAGTAGCTCGGGAGTCGGGACGAGATCTTGCTGCGCAATTTTTTGACTTGTTTAAAGACTTCTGTAGGTACGCCTTTTCACTTTGGTACTTCGTTACTGTAACTGTTACATGCTTGCAGGTGACGAGCTCCACAAAAGATCTGGGAGCAGATCTGCTCGGCACGAAGCTAACATATCGTGCAGTGACCAGATTTATGGGCAGAGATATTTTCTTTTTTTTCTCTTCATGGTACATTCTATAGACGTTTTGTCTCCTCGATTCGCTAAGTTTTCTTCCCGTGTCACTTGCAGATGACGAACGACTTTGCACTGCCGAACGGAAGGCAGTGTTTCGCTATTCACGCCGTGCAATTTTCCAAGCCTTGCCGTCCAAGCAAGCATATGGAGACTATCAACCTTGATCATGATATTTCAGCAGCCTTTGACTGAAAGCGAGGCAGGAAGACACAAACTCATTAATTTGGGTGGGATACTGCCGGGATACGGCGGGATGGTTAGCTCCTTTCTTACGGAATTTTCTGTCGTCCTGTAAGCTGAAAGTCTTATTTCGATGCAGGTAAAAAAGAGCTATCGAGATGTGATGCTTGGAGAGCGAAAGTACCTCCGCTGATGAGGATCTTTGTGACCAATCCATTCAACATTACGTCACGCAAGTAATGAGGCTTATGCGGATCCGGGAAGGCGTGAGGCAAGCATGCCTGAGTCTCTTTGTTACTTATCTGTTTTTCTTCTTTTAACTCCAGTCAAACAAGACAGGCAGGCACAGGAAGGTGGTGAATTGCATTACCTCTGTGTAGGTAGATCTTTCCGCATCAGCATCAAACCGAAAGCAGCAGCAGCAGCCAGCGGCAGCATGCCAGAGCCAGAATAGCAACAGGGACAAGAACAGGATGCATAGCGAAGGGAGGCAAAAAAAAAAAAAGCCCAACCAAAAAACAAAAACGAGAAAAAGGAGCTGCAAAGCAAGTAATGGCACACGTGAGGTAGTAGTAGTCGTTGAGCTCTTTGTTTTTTTTCTTTTTTCCCTCCTTTTCATCTTTTCATGCTCGTCTCTGTGTTGTTTGCAGGTCTGCGCCTGGTCCTCGTTCTCGGCTAAAGCTTTTTGCGCTGGTAAAATATAGCGAACTGTGGTCGTCCGCCGGGAAAAGAAACCTCTCCGGTTATAGTGCGTTGCTCGGGCGGGGACTCCTTCCACGGTCTCTTGTCTCGGACCACCAACTCGGGCTGGCCTGGCGCTGTCCCTTTCTCCCGTGTGCTGCGACTCTGGCGCTGCTAAAAGCAACAAGTTACAGGTATGTGTGTGGATTTATTATGCCAAATACCTGAGCGCAGTGCGGGACACTTACTTTGATTGCCTGGCTTTGTGTTTTTGCTTGCAGGCACATTGATAACTCTTGCAACTTCTAGCTAAACTGGATGAACCAGCTTGTATATATGTGTATATATATTCCAGGGCCAGCTAGCGCATATGTTATGTTCATCGTACAAAGGTCCGATTGAATCAAAATTGTTTTTTTAAACTCTCGCTCGTTTTTTTTTTTCTAGAAGACGATACCTTTGTTTTGAGTTTTATAGCGAGTAACAATCATAGTGGGTGTTTTTGTCAAGGGAGACAAGCTAGCAGGGGATTAAAATTGACGCTACCACAATAACGAACCCACATGGTTTGGCATTGATCTGGGAACGCATTGAAAATCCTGGAGAGGGGAAGATTCGAGATGCCGCGAGCGGATTCCCTGGTTCAGGTGAAAGAAAGAAAGAAAGGTGACCTTTGTTCTTCTCACCCTCGTCGGTCAGAGAGGGTATCTTTTTTTTTCTCTCTTTGGCTAAAGTTCTTCGAGGAATTGGGTGTAAACAACACATTACAAGGAGAAAAGAATGGTTTTCTAGTCGCCAACTTTTGTGCAAGGATTGATTGCGGGGGCATTTGTTTAATCGGCATTTGTCTAGCTCGTGCTTGTAACGTTTTCCTTGGATTGCTAGATTGTGTCGATGATGGGCGATTGAATCGGGGGCAAAAACGTTACAAACTCTTTCACCCTCTCTTTCTCGTCGCTATAGAGCCTGTAATGTAATGTAGCAATGGCGACAGCACGCAAAAGAGCAAACACGCATTATCCTTGACAAAATAAGCTTTGACCGTGGCTCGTGACGAGATTTGGCCACCATGAATGGATGAAATTGGGCCCCAAGAATTGTACGTTGGTGTTTAAATTTTGATCTTTTTTTCCCCGTGGTCGTTGCCGTGGAAGACCGAAATGTATCAAAAATTTCTTCTCCCCCCAAGGAGGGGACGATCGATTGTGATGAAAAGATTTGATAGGGGCATCTGGTCTTTTGACTTCGAAACACTGCACAAAAGAGGGGTTAAAAAGAATAAGAGAGCACTTCTCGCAAGATCAAAGGTTTGGGATTGGTTGGCTGTGCGAGAAAACTTCGGGCCTCTTCGAGAAAGAGAAGAGAGATCTCATCAAGACTTAGACTTGTGTCCTGTTCTCGCTTTTTTTTCTTTTTTTTTTTTCTGCGTTTTTTCCTTTTTCTTTTGCGCCTTTAGCCACCAAACTCAATCCATTTCTACGTAACATCCGACATGCACGCATTGGACAGCGACCACCGCCACGAACTCTCGTCTGGAAGAAAAAAGCAAAAACAAAAATCTCCCTGCACAAACAAAACAAGCGCTTGATTCCAGAAGACCAAAGCTTTGAACGCACACCACACCATCTCTGGCTGGTTGTTTGGTGTTTGGTCACCTTACCACCACCCGTAAAATTCGACAAGCAAAGTAAAAATAAAAAAATCGCAAATCTCTTACCACCCGCATGCCCTCCACATTAATTGGAGAGATTACAACACACTAATTGTAAGGACAGCCGCTCAGTTACATTGAGTGCGCAAAACCAATTAAAAGACAGCGATTAGATTAAATAAAGGCCAACGGGACGGCGGCCCTCTTGACTGACGGTGACGGAGCCGTCAGTCAAGGTCAAACCAACACGTCTAGGGCAAAGGTAAAAAAGGTGGTACACCCGTGTTAAAAAAGTAGTGTAAGTTTCCCGTCAAAGTGAGGAAAACATCACGGTCGGTCGGTGGCAGCGGCGAGACCAATGGGGACCCGCGCGGGCAGGCCGGGCAGCGCTCCCGGGCAGCTAGGGCTACTTATAACAAACAGGGCCATGTGTGTATCGAGAAGAAGAAGAAAAACGATAAAAGAAATTAGCAAGGGTTTAAAGCAGAGAAGGAAGGAGGAAGGAGAAGAATGCCGGCCGCGATGAAGCTCTGGAGATGGCGATTTTAGGGTTCTTGGCGGGGCTGGGGCGGGGAAGGCAAGAGTGTAGGGGATCTTGGCTTCTGGGTCTGATTGATCAATCGAGATCGGGGATCGATCGATTGTCGCGAGCAAGATGGGCTCTTCTTGGGCGTGATTGATCAGCCAGGAGAAAGACGAGCCTCTTGTGATTGATCGCGTCGAATTGAGAGGGAGAGGGGAGGGAATCGAGCGAGAGAGATTGAGAGAGAGAGATAGATCGATCCAGCGAGCGATCAAGCTGGCGAGCAAGATGCCGGGGCTCAAGAAGATGCAGGTCCAAAATCTGCAAGTGCCCCACTACTTCCGGTGCCCGATATCGCTGGAGCTGATGCGCGACCCGGTGACGGTGGCCACGGGCCAGACGTATGACCGCTCCAGCATCGAGAAATGGGTGAGCGACGGCAACGCGACGTGCCCGGCCACGATGCAGCGCCTCACCGATCTCACGCTCATCCCAAACCACACGCTGCGCCGCCTCATCCAGGAGTGGTGCGTCGCCAATCGCTCGCGCGGCATCGAGCGCATCCCCACGCCCAAGCAGCCCGCGGACCCCCAGCGCGTCGCGGCGCTCGTCCGGGACGTGACGCGCGGTACCGCTGGCGGTACCGCGCTGCAGCTCTTACTGCCGGCACTGCGCAGCCTCCGCGCGCTGGCCAAGGAGAACGATAAGAACCGAGGTCTGATGGTGGAGGCCAATGCGGTTTCGGCTCTTATCCGTGCCATGTTTAGGATCCCTTCTTCCTCCAGCGACGACGACGACGACGACAATCTCTCCTCGTCGTGCTCGTGCTCCTTCGATCCCGATTCCTTGTCGTGCTGCGCGCCGCTAGATCACGACCAACATCTTGGCGATTCCCTGGACGTGGAGGAGTCGTCGCTGGCGGTGCTGGTGCTCCTCCCGCTCAAGGACAGCGAGCGGCGATCCATCGCGCAGTGCCGGCGGCGGCTTGGCGCCGTGTCGCGGATCGTGCGACGCGGGCGGAGCATGGACGCGCGCATCAACGCGGCGGTACTGGTGGAGAAGATCGCGTCGGACGCGCCCGAGGCGGCGAAGCTGGCCATGGGCCAGATCCCCGGCCTGCTCGAGGGCCTCGTGGATCTCCTCCGGGGCGACCACTCGGCTGTGTCGCCGCGCGCGCCCAAGTCGGGCGTCAAGGCGCTCTTCTCGCTGTGCCTGTGCAGCGCGGCATCCAACAGCGAGCGGGCGGTATCCGCCGGCGCCGCGGCGGCGCTGGTGGAGCACCTCCCGGCGGCACAGCACGGCGACGCGGACCGGACCTTGGGTGCGCTGGAGCTGCTGTGCCGGACGCGGGCGGGGCGGGAGGTGGTGGCGCAGCACGCGCTGGCGGTGCCGGCGCTGGTGGCGGCCATCCAGTGCCGGAGCTCGTTCCAGGCGGCCGAGTGCGCCGCCGGGACGCTACTGGCGGTATGCAGCGGGAGCGAGGAGGTACAGCTGGCGGCGGCCGAGGCCGGGGTGCTCACGCAGCTACTGCTGCTCATCCAGAGCGACTGCACGGATCGGGCAAAGAGGAAGGCCGTGGAGCTGCTCAAGCTGCTCCGGCGGTGGTGGGCGGAGGACCCGTGCCTGGCGGAGCTGGACAGGACGGACGTGGTGGCGTTCTAAGCGATGGCGGTACGCGCCCAGCTCTAGCTAACGGCCAGCGGCACACCGCGCGGTATGCCGCCAGTGCTCAAGAGACCGACCGAGAACCGCAATGCAATGCCGGTACTTTTACTATCTACGTGCCCACACCGTACATTTTAAGCGATTATAGGGAGGGAGGAGGGTTGTTTTTTCCGTGCTGTTTTTGTGATTTTGGGGGTTTTACGCAAACTACACTACGTACTAGTTGGCCAGCTTTTAGTCTTGGGTGAGGTTCTTGAGATTTTCTTCTTTATCCATGTTCCAACACCATGGTGTATATATTGTGTCAATATATTTTTGACAGCAGAGAGAGCACACAGCACACAGGCCAGCAGCACCAGCGCAGCAGCTGCAGAAACAGTAGCAAGAGATCTTTTTGGAAGCTGCAAATACAGCATTGTCTTTGTCGCTTGTAATGCAATTAGCTGAAATCCGAAGACAAAACAAGCTTAGGCCTACCTGGTGATGGATGCATGGCTGAATAATAATCAGAGAGAGATTCTTCTTGGTGTGAGATTATTTGTGGGAAGGAAACAGAAAGTGTGTGTCACACCTAATCTTTTTGTCATGCCACATGTAATGTTCTTTTTTTTTCTTCTTTTTTTTTCTGGGTGGGAGTAGTGGCATCAGCAAATTTGTGTGTTTGTGGGCTCAAGACTTCTGTGTGTGTGTGTGTGTGTGTGCTTCTCACTCTGGCAATGTATTTTTTGTGGTGATTTTGCCAGAGGATGGTCCCAGTCCAAGCTCAGTGAAAGGTCAAAGCCCTCTGGAATGCTGCTGCTTGCTTCTTTCTTGCTTGGTAACAAGTGTGAAGGGGATGGCTGTCCAGCCACAGCGAAAAAATTGATAGCTAGGCAAACAAAAGACATATTGGAGCTAGTAGATTTTTGAGGTTACACTCTGTAAAACGATTGTTTTGCTTTCCTCTCTTTTTTACTTCCTTGCTTCTTGAGCTGTATGGCCACTACAAATGCCAACAAGGGGACCCCTCCCTCTCCTTGTTGTTGGGGTCACAAGTCACAAAAAAAGGAGGGAGAGGGGTTTGGCTCAAAAACAAAGCCAAAAAATGGGGGACATGTTGTTGTGACTGTCATTTTGGTCCCTGGAAATGATGGTGGTGGTGGACCAGAACCAGAAGAACAAAGGCAAGCAACCAAGAAAAAAAAAAATTTTTCCTATAAAAACAAAAAGAAATGGAAAAACAAAACCAACCAATGGAAGAGAAGTTTGACCGTTGCCGTGTTCTGTGCGTGGGATGGAGATTTTGTTCCGCGTTTGACCGTTGAATATTCGGATCGCTTGCACGTGTAGCTGGCCTATGTAAAGGAAAAGATCTGGCAAGCCTGAATATGCGAGGGAATCAATCCAGGACGAAAGAAATTATTATAACGGCGAAAGTGCGCATATTACCTGTGGCGTTTTAAGTCTGGCATGGATGGATGATGGACGGATCTCTCTCCTCTCTTTTTTTTTCTTTTTTTCCCGGCGAGAGTGGAGTGGAATCACTCAGGTGTTTGATGATTGGTGTCACGGTGCGAAGAAAATTCTGGACTGGTTGATGCTTTGTTCGTGTGCTTATTGCAGGAGAGTACTACGATGGAAGAACTGCAAAACTGAAGTGGAGGAAGTGATTGACTAGAACAAGAGAGAAGGAAGTCCTGCGCTGTTTTCATACTTGCAACGTGTCCAGAATCTCGTCTGTGGTCAATCGATCCAGTTATCAAATCCGGAAGGACACGGAACAAAGACGCCAAGGTTAGTGGATTGGCCTTTTGCTTCTTTCTCCATAGAAAAATAGAAGCTAGCACACTTACGCAGGCTAATGTAGAGGCGCTCGTTTGAAGGGAATCACGGAGCTCCTGCAGTGAAAACAAGCTGAGCAGTGGCCTAGAAAAAAGACACAAGGAAAAAACTGTGCCTTGCCTGGAAGACGGGCTTTTCTCTCGTTGGAGGAACGAAACACCAGAGACTTTCGATCGAGCGTCCTGTGTAGAGCATGCAAGCACTGTTCGAGAAAAAAGAGAGAAAGAAAGAAAGAAAGAAAGAAAGATAAAAGCTGTGACTTGCCTGGAAGGCGAGCTTTTCTCTCATTGTATAAACGAAAATCCAGAGACTTTCGATCGAACATCCTGTAAAGCATGCAAGCGCAAAGGAAACAAAAGATCAAGCGAAAGAAGCGACTGCATTGATTACAGGCAAGGAAAGAACACACTGAAGATCAAAACCAGACTTTTCCACTCGTTTCAAGCTTTCCTGGCCTTGCCGATCTCCATCACGTTCTTGAGGCTAGGAGCATAGAGCGAGTACACCACCGTCTGGCGCTTCACTACCTCGAGCTGCTCCTTACCGGTCGCAAATGCCTCTGCCGCATTGCCGGATTGGCGAAATCCTTGCCTGGATCGGCGCTTGATGTACTCGCGCACATTGTAGTCCGTGAACTTGCGCGCCTCGCGCAGGAAACCCCGGTAGAGCGCGCGCACCTGCGCGGGATCCATCGCGTCGCGTCCTGTAGCATAAACCCTAGAATTTAGGGTTCTTGGGTTTTACTTGTTTTAACTGGCTGGGAGGGAATGCTGTGGATTCGTCGCTCCTCCCGGCGGATCCGTGCGCAGCTGCTGCCATTCCCTTTGGCGCCACCCGCCGCAAGCACCGCATTCAATAGCATCGCGAAACGATGTCGATTTGAGGTATGGTGATCGCTTTTGGTTGCTTGAGTTCTGGATTATTTTTTTTATCTTAGATGATCCATAGTACGAGCAGGGATGATCTGTGAGTAACTCAATCCCATGAGCCACTGATTTGAGTCGCTTTCAGGCAAAATTCTGGGATTTCTAGCTCTGAGCCTTCTCTGCTACCATCACCAGGAAGCTCCAGGGTCCATCCGACAGCCATTGTTCACTCTCAAGCTACCATCGGTGAGGTAAGTTCCATCTGTTTGTCTGTCTTTCTCGTGGTTTCTAAGTTCCAAGTGGTTTGTGGTGTTCTTCGTGAGTTTCCCGTGCAATTCTTTCTTGGTGATGTGAATTTGTGGTGATTCTCAGTTCTACTTATCTTAAGTTTCTGGACGTGTGCAGTACGTGAGTATTGGTCCATTTTGCAGCGTTGGTCCCGGTGCAAAGCTTGGCAGTGGCTGCACACTCCACCCAAACAGCCACATCTTTGGAAACACTCACATTGGCGACAACTCCACGCTCTTCCCGTGCGTTGCAACGAAACGCTCTTTTCATAAACGTCATTTCTCTTTTTCTCTGTCTTCCATTGATCACAGGGGAGCAATAGTTGGAGCTGACATTCCTGGTGAGACGGTCATCGGGAAGAATAACAGCATCGGCTGTTATGCGGTAGTCGGAGTGAAGTGCCAAGATCTCAAGTACAAAGTAAACATCCAAGCTCTTGTTCTTCTCCATTAAGACTTTTATTCCAGGATGCAGACGAGTGCTTTCTTCGAATAGGCGATAATAACGATATAAGGGAGCACGCCAGCGTTCACAGATCGTCCAAAAGCACCGATAGCACGGTACGTTGTATCCTCAAACTTCAAGTTTGATTCGAAAAAGTTATTTTCTCTTGTCCCAAGAACTCAGGTTTGATTCGAAGTTCTTTTATCTTTCAGATAATTGGCGACAGCAATCTTATAATGGGAGCCTGTCACATTGCACACGACGTCAAGCTCGGTAACAGCAACATTCTGGCAAATGGTACTCTTCTAGGCGGTCACGTCGTGGTGGAGGTAGCGATCTAGTTTTTCGCGACGCTTAAAAGTTTTGGTTTAGAATTGTATCCACACAGGAGGAGGAGCGGCAGTGCATCAGTTTTGTCACATCGGCTCTTACTCCTTCTTGGCAGGCGGTTCCATGGTAAATGATCCGCATTGTTTTTTTAATCACCTATCAAGATCTTCACCAAAACTGTATGTTTTTGCTACATCAGGTGGACAGAGATGTTCCAATGTATATGATGGTTGCTGGGAATCGTGCAGAGCTTCGGGGACTTAATCTGGAAGGACTGAGACGGCGTGGATTCTCCGAGATCGAGGTACTCTCTTAAAAACTTCTTTCCTGCATTGGTTTTGTAATTCCTTTCTTTTGTTCTCAGGTGAACAGCCTGAGGCGAGCTTATCAAAGGCTTTTCGTGAACAGTGATGAAAATGCTGGAGGGATCGACGACCGACTTGCCATTCTCGTGAGCCGTTTATTTTTCTCAGTTGGAATAGTGGTTTCTTGTTGATTTCATGAACTTTGGCTTTGGCAGGACTTGGATGCAAAGCTTTCCAAGGTTGAGGTAGTTCTTCAGATGATCAAGTCTGTCCGGGATTGTTTCGGAGAGAATCGAAGAGGCCTGTGTAAGTTTCGGCAAGTAACTGGAATCATAGACAATGCGATTGATATTCCTTGATCAAGCTCTACACATACAGTGGCTTAGCGGGTTCTCGTAGATATCAAATCCTGGAAACGTCGGCTCGGGTAAACCCGTCCGGAACTCGTGAGTGGAGGCAACCTGGTCCACGAAGGCCGGCCATCCCAGCGTGGGATCGCCCAGCGCCTTGGCCATGAGGCTCTTGTCCGGTTTGATGGACTTGAGCTCGTGTCCCATGTATCTCCTGGTACCAATGACGAGCTTGGCAAAGTTTCCACCGTGCGTCATCACGAAGACATCGGACTTGACGCACACCAGGAAGTCGAGAGCAGCGAGGCTGGTGACGTGCTGTCTGAATGGCTTGAGTTCCTCTTTCGTTGCTAGATCGTCTTTTCTCACCTGTGAAAAGGAAAACCATTTTAAATTTACAAACTCTGGAAGAACTTACCAAGTTTGGGAACATGTTTCGTAGCGGGGACATGCGATTCTCACCGCCGTAAACTTGGCCCGACGCGACGTAAATCTGCGTCTCCTTTGGATACCCCTTGGCCATGAGAACCACGCCAACTTCTGCGGGCTCGAGTGGACACCTTCCCTCTTTTCTTTTCAGTAGAGCTTGACGCCACAAATGTGACCCGTTCTGAAACGAGGAAGGATTGGATGAGCTAAACACAAAAGCAAAGACGGCTTACCTTGAACCTGCGAGGCCATTCTTTCTTCCTGTAAGCAGCCATCATTGCTTTTTCTTCGCGGTTACCAACAAAATCACAAAATGAAAGTCCGACCATTCCCTTCTCGAATCGCAAGTGTAAGGCCCTGAAATGCTGCGTTACAGGAAGCCAAGTAGTGGGATGACGCGACTTACATATACGGCTTCAATAAGCCCGTTCTGTTTCTCATCCTGGAAACTAGGACATCCGCCATTTCTTCTATATGAGGCAAAAACTTCAAAGCGTGGTAGTTGACCCTGCATCTCAGCTTGTTGATTTCAGCTGGCACATTATCATACCTGACAGCATGAAACACAGATGGTAGAAACATACACAACATAGTACAAATGACGCTTACCCAAGCCTGTCGACAAAAGGCTTTAGAGCCATCACTCTTTTCTCTTTGATACGAGGCAAAACGTTGTCCAAATACCACTGTGCCGATGCATATTTGGGGATGTTCTTAACAGTCCTCCTGAAAGTCAAATTCGCAAATTCGCTATAAAAACAAGAAAGGTGAAACCGGGCTTACTTGAGGCTAGTATACAAATCGCCTTTATCCGGCAACCACGACGGTATGTCTTTCACAATCCGCACATCATCTTTGAGGGACTCTATAAAATGATCCACGTCAAAGACGTCCTCAAACCGCCTGCATGCAGAAGCTTTAACTTAGGAGTTCCTGGAATTCGTGTGCAATCAGACGGACTTTGATAATAGTAGGAGCGCACAACTTACGTTTTGTCTTTCCATATCTGGTCCTGCTTCATCAACGGGATGATGAGCGTCACGTTCATGATCCTTGCAACAGCAACAGCATTGCAAATCTGCAAATTTTATGGAGCTCTTGAAACACATACTATAACTGCTGTTAAACAACTAACCGCAATGCGCTGTTGATTTAGTCCTCCTTCGGCATGGATGCCGAGGTAACCATTTGTTTCATCCTCCGCTAGAGGCACTATACAAAAGAAAGAGCGCTTGAATCAGACACAGGAAAGCAAAAGAACTAACAAAGAAAAGAAGCGAACGAACCAATGTGGTTAGAAGCTCGCTCCTCGGCGCAAGGTCGCCACGACTTAGTTGCAGATTTTGGATTGTGCCACAAAGAAGGCGTGTCCGAAACCTTCACAAAAATTTCCAATTTTTTGGTTCTTAAGCTGGAAAGATGGAGATCAAAGATGAAAGCTTACCGGTGGACAATGCAGCATCACACCATCCTTCCGACAGAGATATGGACGATTCTAAACCAAAGCAGAAGAGAAATAAACAATCTATAAGACTACGTAGCGAGCATGGATATTGTTTATCTTACCAAATGGTCCCACGCAAGAGGCAAGCAAAAGAACAAGAGCCCGAGAAGAGCCAAGGACACGGCCACGGCGATCCAGCCCCGCCGTGCCAAAACCCTCGCACCTAGCGATCCCTCCGACTCCGAGGAAGAGCTCTCGCCCTCCCTGGACACGATCCTCGACAAAAACCCTGGCAGCGACTGGAACGCGTGAAGAACGCGAGCAATGTAGCCCTGGGGGTTGTGCTGCGGCGCCTGCTGCTTCTTCATCGACGGCGGATCGGCCGCCAGCAGCGACTGCCTCGCGGCGGCGCCAGATCTCGCGATCGCCGCCGCCGCCACGGCGCTGCCTCCACTCCGCCACGCCTCCGCCATAGCTACATTCAAATGAAGCTTACTTGTTAGGGTTTATGCGATGAGCCGATGGAAGGGGAGAGGGGCGAAAGCGGTGGCCGAGGCGGCGCCGCTGTCTGGATTGTATGACGAGATCAGGCGATGGCCGGCGCGTCTAGAGTGCGCATTGAGCGCCTCCGGGGGGACGCTTGTGGCGAATTGTCAGCAAGCTCGCCTTCTCTGCGCTACAGGCTTTGGATCGGATGTGCTCTCGAGTGAGTGTGTGATTTCCAGAGCTTTAGTGCCAGTGTTGTGATCGCCAGCTCCGGATCGTCGTGGAGATGGCGAGGATTTGGCGACTACACACGTCTTTCAGCTGATGCTTGAGGAAGTTTTCTACTTGAGCTACGAGCTAGATTGCCTTCGCGTCCATCGCCAAAGCTCACAGGTTTAGCTCCTCTTTGCTTGCTCTCATCTCTTTGTTCCTTTGTGTGTCCTATGCTTTGCAGGGCCGTGTGGATCTTACACTCGAGCAATTGTGGTGCTTGATGCAAGAATTCAACAGGGAGTTTGTGAAGATGTACAAGGCTTACTCTCACCTAAGGAACAAGCGATGGGTTGTTCGTCCTGGTCCACAGTATGGAGCCGATTTCATGGCATACAGACACCACCCGACTTTGGTGCATTCAGAGTACGCAGTTATTGGAAGCTTTTGCTCTCCCGTTTGTGACAAAAGGTGGTCTTGCAGCTATGCAGTTCTTGTTATCCCGGCAGATGATCCCCAGAGCAGGCTGGCTTCATGGACGGATGTTCAAGGTATGACCCGGTTGTGTGGCAGTGTAGCAAAGGTGAGACGATCATTCAAGCAAAATCCGCTCTCACACATGTCAATCGAGCTTGCAGACACTGTTGGTGCTGTACATCATAGTTGACATGGGCCATGATCTGTCTTCTCCAACGTATTTGGAGCGAATAACAGTGGAGGAAGTAGAAGTGCGTCGATGGCTACCACAGAAACACCGAGAAGACTCACAATAACGTAAAATGGTTTTTGAGGAAGGTTAGTTTACTGCTTAATAATTCATGTTTAGTATTATTTATTAATACAATTGAACACTTGCCTAGCAAAAGTTAGCAAGGATAAATTTAGTGCTAAAATTAATACAATGCACTATACTAATCATGATGTTTAGTTTGCATTTGTTCTTCTTTTCCCATTGGATAACAAAAGAAAAAGTCTTGGTGAGATTTTTTTTCTTCCACAAAATGGAAGCATGATACCTATTCCCAATTGAAGCGAATTATCTCAACCTAAAAGCTGCCTAAACCTTGGGAAAGAAGACATAAACATCACTTTGACAGAATTTAAATAGTATTTTGCCATATTTTTACATATTGTACAATGTTATGAGCTTGGCAATGGTGGAAGCCATAGTTATCTCCACTGTGATGGCAGCCTTTTCTTGATCACTTCCTTTTGCAACACCAGCAACAGAAATGCTGAGGTGATGGAGCTTGAATCCTTTGTGTGGCTTGTAAGGTATAGCTCTAGCATCCTAGGTGTTGATGGTGAGCACTACTGAGTTTTTGGTGTTGTCCTTGCTCTCGCTACCACTGTTGTAGTTTTGGCTGTCCTTGGAGTTTGCGTCCCATGCACTGTTCTTGTGGGAGATGGCGGTGTCACTGAGACAAAAGTGTGCTTGTTTCTTGATCACTTCGTCAGACTTGTATGGGGCAGCATGAACTGCAAGCTTCTTTTTTTCATCTTTGATCTCCAGGATGTCTTTGAAGAGGAGGAACACCCCATTTGATCTTAGTAGACTGCGATGGTTGCATGGAACCCTGTGCCTCGCAGTTGCAGTGAACCCATCAACCTATGAAGAAAGTAGAGTTCAGAACCGGGTGATAAAAATAGAGGGTTACCTTGGAAGACTCAAATGGTACTGTGTCAATCAGCTTGCAAAGTCCAAGGTTTCTTTGAATAAGCATTAAGAAAGAACTTTGCATTACCTCAGTATGGAGAATTTCCTTGAGCTCAACTATGGGGCATTTTTCACTCCTGTAGCTGGAAACAATGGAAAAAATTCACCATGGAAAGTTAGCTATCAAGAACAAAGAACATATACCAAACATGGAATGGAGTTTTGCATGAAGTGCCATAGATGTTGTAAAACTTAAAATCTTTTGGAAGTTTTGTAGAGAACCATAGACAGAAGGACTCATTTGCCCACTCAAGAATGCATCTATTGAAAGGAATGGGTATTGTCTTGTCATCATAGCTTAGTTGCATAGAAAATATTTAGTTTATTAGCATAACCAAAGAAAAGAAAAGAGAACTTGATATACCACTAACCATGTTCTCTTTAAGTGCAATTTCCATCTCAAAAACACACTCAAGGGGTCCATATGAGTGTAGCTTGACATACTTGGGATTGTTATCATGCTTTCTGCACAGCCTCCAAACTTGCAATTGTGGAGGGCGCTCCCATTCATATGTGAGAGATGCCATCATCACTTGACAAATGTAGTTATGGTCAACACATTATATGCAACATGTGTTACAACACCTTCTTCTCTCGCCCCATGCAATTAGCCACTTCCCATTGGTTGAGAGCAAATATCAGTGATTATTTGCTAAGACATGGTTAAAGATATAACCCTTTGATAATTACCCCCCATCGGATGGTTGCCATTGGCTAGGTCTGGTGGCCCAGAAACTCCTCCTTATTATTATAGATTATAAACATATTTATAATTTATAAATACAAGATTAATTTTATTGCATATCAACCATAAAATAAACTAAAATATACACCACGGTAACTAAGCAGCCTCCAATGTTTCGGCTACACACAAGTGACACTACAAGATCTAGCTCTCAACACCAACATTGACAACATGCTGCATCACTATGAACACCACAGCTGAGAGCGCCCCGAGCAAAAGCAATGTTATGAGCTCAAACTTCCACATAGAATCTTGAACTTAACATCTCTCTAATTTGTGGATGAAATGCAATGCCTCTAGCCAACTCCACAAGATGGCAATACTAGCAAATTCCACAAAGTTTTTCCATGATGAGTAGATGAATGTCTTCATGTGAGATGGAGTCCAAGCTATAATCAATGCCATTATCTACTAGCCCATTGATGCGAAGCTCATAAATATCTAAAGTGACATTCTTCAACTCAAGAAAAGCATTTGAGGTATGGGTTTCTAGGGATCCATTTGTGCAAAGATTAAGTGTGTATTCCACTAGCTAACATGCTATAAAATTTACGCTTAAACCCAAGATAAACACAAAACAAGGACAAACATGCTTAAGGGGAGCTAAACAATGTTTTAAACTGGTTAGCCATACTTGATCTACCCACTATCCTTTAAAAAATTCCTATAGACAACCCCCCCCCCCCCTAACAAATGCAAAAGACTAAAAGATTTTTGCTATAAGAAGTTGCTAGCAGTCAAGAGAAGTGGATGGGGAAATAAGTAGTGCTGTGGAACACCAACTAGCCACTGAAAACCTTTACTTCCACTTCTATATATGTTCATAAAATTGTTGCTATAAGTTGGAGATGATTGTGTCTCTCTTACTAAAACTCTACTAGATGATGGAGGACATGTATATAAACACTTTGTGTCTGTAAACCACTAAAGAATTATTATATGATTATTATATTTCAGTGGCTGTGTCTCAAAGGTGTTTATAGCCTTAGATTGCTTAAATTGAAGATGCCAACCATGTTTGTTGAGAAGAGTTGCATAATGCCACCTATCATAATACCTAAATGCCATTTTGTCTCACAATCCACTACTTTATGCCAAGTGTGACTAAAGATGATACAGTCTCCACTATGAGATGCTAAAGCCACCTCATAATCCCAATCACACCATAAATATGAGTGCTAGAAGAAGATATGATTTACAAAGGTCTTTAGCATAATTGCTATCATGGAAGTCCAAGCCAAGCTAGTGAAGGGAGATGACACTGCTCCCAAAGCTAGAGTCAAATAATACACCCTCTACCACCTTTCCAGCTATTGTGATCCTCATGCTTGGTATAAGTGAATAGTTTGAGACATGTACTCTAAAGAGCTACTCCTCATTCACACAACAAGAACCACAGATGCCTAACAATGGCAAATTCCAAATCATGCCACAAACTAAAGAAAATTGTATACCTTGGCCTCAACTAGCACATCTAGAACATCTCCTAGAGTGAGTGTGAAAATTGAAAAACTAGAGCTAAAAACAAAACTTGTTAAAAACTTGAAATAAAACTTGTTAGAAAGCTCTTGACCTACCCTAGCTTTTAAATAAGAAAAATCTCAAAAACTCTAAGTAGAACAAAGGTGAAAAAGCTCCAAACTCCTCATAAACAACACAAGAAGAGAAATGTTGTTAGATGTCTCGACACACAACATGAAAAATCATGAGATATAACTCTTTGATGAGCTATTGGCTTGCTTTAACTCTCAAACAAAATAAATCTTATAAAATCTAAGTAGAAAAGAGGAGAGAAAGCTCCAAACTCCTCACAGACAACACAAAAAGAGAAATGATGCTAGATTTTTCTTAACACACCATACCAAAATTCACAAAACTTAAAAGAAAGCTTTCTTTAGATTTCTTCTAGGAATAAAGAAAAAAATCCAAGGAAAACACTCCTAGAAACCGCAAGATAAAGAGAAAGAACTCCTCAATAATTAAAAAAATGACTAAATCTTTCTAAGGGAATGAACTGAATCAAGAAAGAAAGAGCTTTTTGGAAATTTTAGGAGCAGATCTACAAAGATTTGAGAAAATAATGGCTTGTAAAGAGTGTATAATATAGTCTTGTATGAGCCCTTCAAATCTCCTTGCATGTCCCAATTCCTGCACTAAATTTGCAGATTTGTGATGCCAAATAATAGAGAAAGATGAAATCTACAAGACTATCTACTCAATTTGCCAAAAAAAAAATTAAAAAATTAAAAAAGAAGAAACTAAACCACTAGAACAAAATTTTTAGTTGTGAATCCCAAAACCCAAAGAAAATTAAGAGAAGCTAATAA